ACCAGGCTGGCCTCGAACTCACAGAGATCCGCCTGCCTCTGCCTCCCCAGTGCTGGGATTAAAGGCGTGCGCCACCACCGCCTGGCTCTCGTGATACATTTTTTTAAAAATGCAACATGCAACTGTGATGCTAGGGAGGAGTTTGGACTTGCTATTTGGTGGAGAACGTATCAGTCTTATTACAGCAGGGACAATAGGAAACAGGAATCTGATATGCAGAGGAAATCTTCTTAAGTCACACATAATGAATGACTGTGGCTGTACACCAGCGGACACAACATGAAGGATCAGAAACTCACAAGTAAGTGTCTAGATTCAAAAGACACGACAAGGGTGTTCGGTCACAGCTGGTGGAGGAAAGCAGAATCCTGTCAGAGCTTTAATGGGCTTAGCGTTCTGGATGCTTTTTCAGGCTCTACCTCGAAGTTTCCTTGTTTAGCACTCGAAGACCAAGCCTGACACTGATAGAGCCTCTCTGCCCTACAGCTGCTGCTGAGTAGCCCTGGACAACTGTCAAGTTAGTGAAGCATGGCTGTGCTTTCCTCAGCAAGGCACGCTCCATCCCTGCAGAGACAGCCCCACCCTGCAGCACCAGGAAGGCTGCACCGTTCTTGGCACTCTAGCCAGGGATCTTCCCTGGTGGTTGCATTGGGCTGCCTCAACCAGTAGAGTTCAGAGGCCGCAAACAGCAGCTGTTGGGACAATTATCTCCCACAGTCATGTTTTTATTTGGCTTATCCGAGTGTTTGGCATTTGTTTTATATAAAACTGGGTCAACATATAAAAAAAAAGTCAGGTGATTACACAAATAAACCTAAAAATATCAGAAGATCTGGTAACCCTGGACCCAGTTCCAAATAGCAAGTATAGGGAAGAGCTGAGAAGACTGTCATCCACCAATGTCTCTGCTTTCCACTTAGCTATAGTCCCCTCCCCTGGGCCCAATTCTCTCACTCAGTCACCTCTGGACCCTGCAGGCATCTGTGCTTGTGGACCACGGTAGAGATCTATTTAAGTAGCTGGTCCCCAAACACTAATTACTTGTAAAGCAATGGCAGCACCCTTCTCTCCTGCAGAGAAAGCTAACTATTGTAACAAGTGGACTCTCTGGGGCTAAAGGGTCACTAAAGTATAGTATTAAATTCCGAAGACAAAAAAAAAAAAAAATGTGTTCACATGAGAAAACAAAATCGAATGAATTATTCAACAAAAGGTACTTCTACCAAGAATCGCTAATACATATTAACACACACACACACACACACACACACACACACACACACACACACAGAAGCACTCATTATTTTCCTCCTGGGAAGTAGGCAATTGCCTATAAAGCACTTGTATGGTTTCTGTATTCTTTTGAATTAGGTTCCCCATCCACTTTTATTAAAAGAGTAGGCCAACTATTAAGAGTAAGTCTTTAACCTACAAAATCTCCTAGATTGCTAATTAAAGGACACCCTTCTTTGCATATTTACATTAAATGACGGTTGTAGTATCATCTGAGAGGCAGTATAGAGCATGCAGTCTATCTGATAAATATTTAACACACTAAATAATCTAGCCCTTGTAGATGCTGTGGTGTGTGAGGTCAAGAACTATGGCAGTCTTCCTGAGACCCCAGGAAAGACACTGTGCCACACTAAGGATGGCGGAGTGGGAGAGAGGCAGTCCTCCAGTCTTCGGAGCGATGGATTTCTCACTACTGTAACAAGCTTTATAGTAGGAATGATTTAT